AGGAATGCTTGAAATATGTGCAAGAAAAGATAAAGGTTCAAGCAAGAAAATTGTTCAGTTTGAATGAATGATAAAGAGAAGGGCAAGCCTAAACTCATATTAAATAACTAACTTGAACTAGCATCAAGTTGTTAGACATTTTTAATACCAACAATGGGCACATATAAGATCATGCACACTTAGAATTGATCACATGCCTATTCATTATGTCATCAATACATTTAATTAATTCATGTCACAGTAAAATAGAATTTACTTAAACATGAAACATAATCTCAAAACAATATTATTAGCTCTAATTCAAATAAGATGATGCATGATTAATAATTCACAAACATAAAACTTGTAAAAAAACAAGTTAAGTTAATAAAAGTTATATATAGATGAACATGTTTGTAAGTAACATATATTCATAACTTTATGATTTATCATACAAATCAGAAAGTGTTAGCTGCTTTATATGTTTTAGAATAATAATTAGGATACATCACAAGTATACAATAAAGCATTCATTTTATACACAAATAGAATATATAAAACAGAATATGATCAGCAGATCAATGATTGAGAAGAAAAATGGAGATCAAGTTAATAGTACTTGGAAGTTAAGAAGAAAACTGTCAAGATGATTATTATATTGTTGAGAAAAATACCAAGAATTCTAGTGTTACTAAAAGAAATCTACCAATGCCTAGAAGAATAAATGAGATCACAAGAAACTCAAAAAGGTCTCTATAAGATAAATAAGAGCCTTTTAACTTTGTATATGTGAAGATTATTTTTGAGTAATTACAAGTTCCGTCCTAGCCAATGCGCCCTATTTTTGAGTAACTTTGTATATTTTCTTTTCTTAGCTGATTTTGCTAGTGCAGTTTTATTTGCACATGAATTTTGGTGTATTTTATTTTTCACATTTTCTGGAGGTCTCCCCCATCATAGTTTTGCTCCCTTCCTCCTATACATGTAACTAATTTCTTTCTCTTTTAATAGAAATGGGCTACGCCCTTAATTTTTCCCCAAAAAAAAAAAAAAATTTAACATCATATTTATCATTTGCTGCTACCTAACTTACATCAAATTGTGATTTTAAGCAATTATTATTCTTTTCAGCTTGCTCAACCACTATATATATAAATATGTATGTGGAAACAATGTTGAAGTTGGGTCCCCCCTAAAAAATTTTCTGGCTCCATCACAGGTCCTAGCCCTAGTGGTCCGCAAAATTAGCACTAAGATCTATGTAACCTCTACATATTTCATAATCATGTTTTCCTTTTATCAAATTAAATTTACAGTAACATTTTACCCTATAACTAATATTATTTCTACTTTCCAATTCTATCTAACATATTGTGTCCATATAAAGGGTTATCATAGGAATATTTAAAAGAAGGGATCAAATAAAAAATTGAAGAGTTCAAACATAAAGATGAGAGAGTTCATGTTTAAGAGGAGACTAATGGAATTAGAGAGCAAGAAACATAGGGATTCAAGGAAGCATCATCTTCCTTCTTATTCTATCATTTTCTAGTTCATTAATAAACTTGTGTGTTTCTTAATATTAAATTAAAAAAAAATTCAAACTAACAACTTTTATTAGCACCGACAGGCTCAATATATTGATAGATAATACTATTTTATTGATATTAATAAGCATATCTCACAACAAATTGGCTAAATAATAATTGTTAGAACTCCCAAAAATAAAGGCCATAATTATAATTCTAGTGTTCATTAACATGCTTGTCAACCAAAGTGCTACCTAAGTTAAATGCATGTTGCCAATTTCATGCTCCACCTATCCAACATGTATGGTAACTATTCCTTATACCTTTCTACTATATCTCTATCTTAGCTTGATTTTGGAACAAATTGGAGCTAACATGACTAAGGACTTTTACTCTGTTAACTCATTAAGACCATAATAATAATGATATTCTATTATAGAATTAAACTCTTATATATTTCTCCAATTATTATGTGCTTAATTCCATATACTAAATTCATTGTTATGAAGTATTTATTTGAAAACGCTTTTCCTTCGAGCCCAAAAATTAGCATCAATCATATATCTCTTATTTTTTTAATAGATTATCATCTAAATATGCATCCTTCTTATTGTTCTCATTGACATTCTTTTCCTTCTCTTCAAATCATTTTATTTTCATCTAGTGATAAAAGTTGCATTTGAACCTATAATAAAACATATTTAATCTTTACTAAATAAATACCTTTTATGAAAATAATCTAATTAATAATAACCCTTTCTTATACTTTTAATATCTTGCACCCTCAAGAAAAGTATTCACTACTTAGTCACCACTCATTAATTTTGATCAACTATGGTAGAAGCAATCAAGGTTTATGAGAGTCATAAATTGTAGAGCCACTCCATCTCAACCTAACTATTGGCTTGTTATGGAATATGGACTAAAGGGGAACTAAAGTTGGACTAAATACATTAATGGTTTATCAAATTTAACTCTAAACCTTAACCCTATGGAAGAGAGACTATCTATAATAATTTATTTTTTAACTAGCTTACATAGAACTAAATCCATTAACATTTATATCTTTAACAATCGATTATGAGGAAAATATATATTTTATATTTAGTATTGGCTATATATATATATATCACCACGTGGATGGCAACTTGTCCTATAGACAGCAAGTCGCATCCACGTGGCGACTAGATCCACAAAAAAAAAATTGTAAAAATATTAGGGATACGATTTGAAAGCATAATTGTTGTAAAAATAAAATGAAAATATTAGGGTTACGATGAATTCATTTAAAATATTAGGGTTACGACGATTTCATTTAAAACAATTGTCTTTAACTTCAAATGAAGATGATTTTTTTTTTTTGTAAAAATAAAAGTGATAAACTTAATAAGACGATTTTATAAAAATGAATGAAGTATAATCGAAATATAATAGAAATAAAATTCTTATAGTGAAAACTAGACTACCATTTAATATAACTGATCGAATATGATGAAGATTAATTTTAAAAGTAGCACTTCATAAGATTGTGATATTCCTTCATTGAAATTTAGTCTCCAAATGTCGTTTCACTCACACTAAAAAAACAATCATTTATTTGATTTTGGAAGATAGCATAAGAAGAGTAGAAAATCAACAAATAAATTTTCATTTCATAATCAACTGTTCAGCATGACTCCCTATTTATAAGAATAATTGATCGAGAGAGATAAAAATACATAACCTACCTCTAAATTCAAAACTAATAGCAAATTTTTACCTACAACTATCATTCTCATACCGGCAATCATTATCATACCTACCATCATTATCAAAACTATCAACATATCATCATTATTATCGCCAATTCTAATAACAGAAATTTTGTTTACAAGCTATGAGAAAGAAATGACCAAATATACATAGGCACGAAATATAACATTTCGACATAAATGAACAATAGTTACATAAAGAATTGTATCCACGTCTGAGATAGCTTTCTTACTGCTTCTTAAAACAATTTCTTGACACAAAATTTAAAATTTTTGTTCTAAAAACTTGCTTTATGAAGCACTAAAAAATCCATCACAAACGAAGCCAAAATCTCTCCTACAAGTAAATAATTCATGGGATCTCCCTTGACTTAATAACAATTGCAATATTTGCGATAAAGATTTATGCAAAAGCACTGCATATATGATAGCAGATAAACTACATGCACAAGCATCAACATTACCATTGGAAATATATTTATAGTATAAAATCAATTCTACCACACTGAAAGTTAAAAAAAAAAAAGAATTATACCTATTACAAGATCAAGCTCATATGCATAATTAACACATATCTTCCTAATAATTTCATAAAACTCATATCTTTCAGCAACCAACTTCTAAATTATTTTCCAAAAATAAAAAAAGTTTAGATCTTATTCTTATCAACAACATATATAGCTCATAAATTAATTAATTATTCATATTAATCAATACTAGATTTATGTGTGTCATAAATAGTCAAGTTTGTTATATTTTTCATTTGAATTTTTATTATAAATAGGTATTGAGGTGGAATGTATAGATTTTTTCTTAGTTGTAATGACAAAGGTGGGATGTCTAAGCTCTATTAAATGTTAAATATGATTTGATTAAAAATGGGTTTGGGTATTGATTGCAATAGGCTTCTATTTAATGGTTTCAACCTAGATATTAGTACAAACATGCCTATTTCTTCTTTGAACCTAAATAATTAGGTCATGGTAACCCTCTTCACACTTAAGAATGAAATTCCTATATAAAGGAGACTAAGCTAACCATTATGTAATTAATATTAATGAAGATTACATCCATGAGCAATCCATCATTGTGGTTGTGATCTTCATTGAAGGTTCAACTCTAAAGGTCGAGAAATTATTACTTGCATGGTCAAGACGTAGCTCGCATCCGGACTCCAACAAAATCAAACCACGTGATTTATACACACTATATGTACAACTTATACACACCACAAACCACATGGCTTGATTTCATTAGGGTCCGAACACGTCCGGACTCCGGATGTAATAATTTCTCCTAAAGGCCATTCATAATAAAGTACTTAGCATTATGAGAGACTCATTATGAGAGACTCTCCATTTATAAGAATGAATGGGCAAGACAAACATACAAACCAACCCCTAAATTCAAACATACCACCAAATTTTTACCCACCACCATTATTTCTTTACTTATTATCATTAACATACCTATCATTATTATCAATCCTATTATCATTACCATAACAAACATCATTAATAACAGACATAAAATTTCTTCATTACCATGAAACAAAAAATGACAACATATATAAATTCAAAATATAATAAATGACCAAAAAAATTGATAATAATTGAAAAACTCAAATGCCAAAAAACCAAATTACAATACATCATATATATAAATCATGCATATAGAGATTCATAGGCACCAAACTAGTTATAAAATGAATTCTGCAAACATGTACACAGCAGCCCGCTTGTGCAAAATTCACTCATAATAATTTCTTGAAATATTTAGAGATCCCAAAAAGCACTAATAGTCATCAAAATCTTTTATATTTTATAAAACTAATGCATAGCAATTAAACTAAACAAACAAAATAAAGTTGTGGAAAAATCATTTTCCTCTAAAAATATCAAATTTGAATCATTAAAAAACATATTCTCATAGTATGCAAAAATAAGGGATCTAACTGTAGAAAGAAATGTAACGAGTCAACTTGCCAGAGTCCAACATGAAATCCCTATGAAGAGCTTTATGAGCTATTTCTTGAGTTTTGTGGTGCTCTCCAAGTTGAGGTCCTGCAGATTAAGCAACAATTCATCCGAGTTTAAGAAGACACGATTGGCAGAGTTGGAAATCGTCTGAGCCACTTCTCTTGCAGCCTCGATCCTTCTCAGGGCAAGGAATGCTGGGTTGCTTGCTATTGCTTGCCCGATAAGCTGAGCACTTGTGGCCTCACCCTGGATAAAAATAGCAGTTTCAAGAATAATCAGCTTACAAAGAATATTTAGTTATGAAGCCTTAAGGCATTCTTCAAGATCTACGATATCAGCAATCTGAGTGAAGATTATGACATTTAAAAATACAAAATTATGAAAACTAAAAACAATGAATGCTCATATTTGAGTATGGCTTACCAAGAACTAACAGCAATTTTGGGTATTAATTAAGGGGCAATTGAAATCACTTTTATTTTTTATTTTCTTAGTCTTATATAAACTAAAATATATTTGATATTCTTTTAGAAATATTATATATATATGTATATATATTTCTCATCTTTTTCATCCTCTTTACTTCCAATCCAACACATGGAATCTCCTCCAAAACCTCACCGGCTAAAACCCAGACCTCAAATCCTTCCTCTTTCCAACTTCTTCGACCTCTTTGACAATCTCACCACCGCCCTCCTCTACGACAATCTTGGCCTCCCTAACTCCAATCGCACCGACTTCTTCAACTAATTTTTCACTCCATCTAATTTTATTGAGGTTTAGCCGAACTTCAATTATGCCGACTTAGCTCAATTTCAACCCCGATATCAATGCGCCCTCCCCAACCTCAAATGCTACATCCATCGTTTTGGCTATCTCCCTCCCCCTCAGCCACCCCCTCTCCTACCTCCAGTCTCACTCTCACAGCTACACCCTCTCCTGTCAAAGAAATTATTTTGTGCAGACGCAGACACAACTCTATATCCAGATGCCGCGGTACCGAGAAGCAGTACCGAGCTACAATACAGTAAAAGGGTGACGTGGCGCATTCTGATTGGCCTTCGGACGGCATTCGGCATCCGCACAAAATAATTTCTCCTCCTGCCAAAAAAATCTTGACCTCCCTCCCAATGGATTCGCTCAGCACAATTCCACCTAGCTTAATTTCACTAAGATTTTGTCAAACTCAAGATACAGTAAAATAACAATGAGAATTTATTGTGGAAACCATAGAAAGACGTTAAGTATGGTGTTAGGGATGCTGACGCACGCCTCCCAATGGACAAGAGGTTCAATTTGATCTGCTCGATCCTTCACCACAGCCGAGGAACACGATGCTACCACCTTCCCCATCAAGAGCCAGGATGATGGATTCGGAGTTATGTTAGGGATCAAATTTTTTGTTTTTGAAATACTTAAAACATCTATTAATATATTTTTTAAAACAAGTCAGTTTATTCTTAAAAAAAAAAAAACAAGTCAATTTATTCTTAAAAATAAAAACAAAAAATTTATCTAATATGTATGATAGAACTAGAGAATGTACCAAGATACCATCATCAATCTCCAAAAATATATATTATCTTACGTGACTATCATAAAAAAAATATATATATGATATAGTATTTTTCATGAGCAAAACAATCCTCTTATTAATAAATTAATTAAAAAATAGGCAGCTTATGAAAAGTACTTGATATTTTGTCAAACTTTAGAGGACTGCTATTTGTCAAACCATTAGAGGAAATAAATGAAAATAACCCATCAAATAATTTAGTGTAACATATTACAAGCTCATGCCGCACAAGTTACTTTAAAAAGTAGGAAAGGAACATGATTATAAATTATTCTTTGGATGCATCTAAAATTTAAATTTTTGCTAGAAGATGAAAGGCCACCCAAAATGGGCAATAAGAAAGAAGCATTTGAAGTAAATAATGCATGCAACAAATATAGGCTCACCTGGGCTCTTATTATAGCACTCTTTTTGTCCTGCTCAGCCTTCTCCACTATAAATTTGGCCCTCTCGGCATCTTGCGCAGCAACCTGTTTAGCTTCGATTGCATGGGTAAATTCCTTAGATATTTGAAATTTTACAAAATAAAATCCACATAAATAATTAAATACATGACATAAATAAAAAATTTATCTAATATGTATGATAGAACTAGAGAATGTACCAAGATATCATCATCAATCTGCAAAAAATATATATTATCTTACGTGACTTTCATAAAAAAAAAATATAATATAGTTATTTTATTATGTTTTTCAAGAGCAGAACAATCCTTTATTACTAAATTAATTAAAAAATAGGCAGCTTATGAAAAGTATTTGATATTTGTCAAACTTTAGGGGACTACTATTTATCAAACCCTTCGAGAAAATAAATGACAATAACCCATCAAATAATTTAGTGTAACATATTACAAGCTCATGCCGCACAAATTAATTGAAAAAAGAAGGAAAGGAACATGATTATAAATTATTCTTTGGATGCATCTAAAAGTTAAATATTTGCTAGAAGATGAAAGGCCACCCAAAATGGGCAATAAGAAAGAAGCATTTAAAGTAAATAATGCATGCAACAAATATGGGCTCACCTGGGCTCTTATTATAGCACTCTTTTTGTCCTGCTCAGCCTTCTCCACTATAAATTTGGCCCTCTCAGCATCTTGCGCAGCAACCTGTTTAGCTTCGATTGCATGGGTAAATTCCTTACCAAAACTGAGAGTTGTAATTGACACATCATCCAGTGCAATATTGAAGTTTGCTGCCCTCTGAGTCAAAATTTTCCTTATTTCCCTACTCACAGCCTATAAGAAAATAATATTTAAGTGATAACCATAAGTCACCTATTCATAATCTAAAGAAAGAAGACATACAATAGCATATTAGAATCACAAATCATAGTAAAAGAAATTTCAAATGATTCACAGTAACGGAGTACCTCTCTCTGTGTAATAAGTTGGCTGGCATTGTATTGTGCAACAACAGCTTTCAAAGTTTCATGGATAATTGATGGTAGAACCCTCTCATTGTAGTTTTCTCCAAGAGTTCGGTAAATTGTTGGAAGCTGATCAGGCATCGGGCGGGTAAGCACCCGAAGCCCAATTTTCACCTACAAAAACATAAATTTTTTAGCATTCAAAACACAAATACCAGTAGGAAAAGTAAAACAAAAATTTTGCATCTTAAAAGGCAAAGGATACAACAGACAAGATGATGCTGCCATCAAAGGTGTGTGGATGTGGAGACCTCCATCATCTTGATCATGCAATGCTCTTCTTTAAGGGATAAATGGAGGAAGACTGGTTTGAACGTGCAGTGGTGAGCGTAGATGGCTGGTTCTTTGGAAGAACCTGGGGGCGATTGGTTCGAAGATGATGCTGCCATCAAAGGCATGTGGATGTGGAGACCTCCATCATCTTGATCATACAAAGCTCTTTTTTAAGGGATAAATGAAGGAAGACAGATTTGGACGTGTCGTGGTGACCCTAGATGCATGGGTTCTTTGAAGGATCCTGTTGGAGGTTGGTTTCGAGTCTGAAGAAGTTGATAGAATATAGCTAGCAAAGATGGCGACGATTAGATTGTATGAAAAGAGGAGAGGAAGACAGGAACAAGTATTGTAGAGGGGGAGGACCGGGTGAGCAGCTTGCAAAGTCGGCAGAGGAAGTAAATATGAGAGAAAATAGCTTTTTCTCATACATCTACGATAGCCCTTCTTATTAATGAGGTGTATGTACAGGCAAGTGGTTGAATATTATAGACCAGAGGCAACAACATTTTTCTAAATGCAAATGAGTCACCTCTCATGACAAGAGACCTATTCACTAAACAAGTGTGTTTAGAGTTGCTTTGATTATCAACGCCTTATGAGTCAAATATTAGTTCAAGACTGAAAAAACTCCACCAAGATGAGACAATGTTGCACTACCAATGATCAAGATATAGGAGGATGCATCCACAATGATATTCTAACTTCAAAAATCATCGACTTTATGTTACAATTTGACCACTAACATTTAACAAAGAACATTACAATTTGACCACTAACCTTTAGAAAAGGACAAAAAAATACCATTTAGTTTTTAATTTTGATGGCAATTTGATTGTTTCTTATAAAAATATCTGATAAGTGAGGGTAAAATAAATCATGTTAACTATATGCCATAAATCAAAGAATAATATGATCATTAAACTAATAAAATTATCAATAATCATGTCACTCGAATTGCAAACCATAGGCCAAATGATAATTTTATGACTTTAATGACTATATTATTGTTTTATTTATCATATAGTTTATATGACTTATTATAACACCACATGATTGATATTTTTGATAAAAAATTATCAAATAACCATCAAAATTAAAAATATAATACATTTTTTATCATTATCTAAACCCTAGAAGACAAAATATAAAGTATAATAAAGTTGTATGATTTTTAAAATGCTTCAATCTTTGATCTACGTCATTTGAGTTTCATTTTAATTTCTATTGTATTTTTATTTCGTTTTAGTCATGGTTGGAAAGCAAGAGATGTTTTGAGCATGTCATGGAATTCTATTATCCTTTGCCATTTAAATGTAAGACATTGTGAATGAAGGAAGGCAATTAAACTTGAATTGAAATGTTATTGCTTGTTATTGTAATATTTTGGTAGATTTGGTACAGAATAAAATTTGGAAGATTAAAGTGAGATTTGAATGATATCATCTATTGCTTAAGGTTTAATGTGGTGTGATTTGAGGAGGATTTAGCAGAGAGTTATGGGGATACGGTTTGGGCCAAATATTGTAGCTCAAATTTAAAGAAACAATTTAAGATTTTTGTAGATTTACTTGGTGGTAATATTGGGAGGTTAGTTCAAATCTAAAAAGAAATACAAATGATACATTCTATTTTGAATGTATCATGGAATATCTTTGCAAGTTTAACCTTAGCTTGGATAAGGGCTTAGGATGGCTCAATTTATGGGTTGTTTGGGATGATCGGTGGCCATAAAGAGTGGAGCTGGGGGTGCCTGATAACAAGGGCAAGGGTTAGTATTAAGTGGAGGAGGACAGCTTCGGTAGATTTGAGGGTTTTTTTTTTTAATTTTCCTGAGGTGGTAAGGTGATGGGGTAATATTGGAAGCAAGAATCCAAGGATCAAAATCTTGCTTTAATATCAATATAGCACAGCAGAATGTTTTGTTGTATAGCAATTTCAAGATAACTAAAGAAATAAGAGTACAAAACTTAAACTAGAAAGAGAAGAGGTCAGGGCACACAGACTTAAGAAAGAGAGAAGAACCATATCCCAAGAGGAAAGAAAAAGAATCCTTAGTCGTCCAAGGAAGGGGAGGAGCTTCAGCAAGCAAGAACTTTTCAATTTAACCTCAACTGTATTCCTTCATACATAAGGGTCCTACATACAGATTGAAATGGAGGGATTTCTATCAAATGCTCAAAATGTCCTCATGCTTTCCAAATAAAGCTAAATTAAATTAAAATATAACAAAAATTGAAATAAAGCTCAATTAAAGCATAAACATAAGGAAAAGTTATTTGTGCAAATAATCAGAGAGACAAATCTGAAATCATGTCGGATATTAGCGTGCAGTATGGATGAATATGCTTGTAACTTTATTATATGTATTGCCATTAAAGGAAGTCTTCTCCAGGTAATGAAGGTCAAGATACTCTTGCCTAGGAGGGAAAGGACTACATGACGAAGCTAATCATGGAGACTCCAAGAATCATCCTTAGTAGGTTGGTTCCACCGGCAATCAGAAAACCTCCTTGTCCACAATGTCAAGTAGTCATCTCATCTATAATGATACATTCCAAAATGTTAACAAAAGGTTGCTGTTAGGTCAGTTCTTGAACCGACCCAACAGGCCCCACATGGGCCGGCCTTAGTCTACAGGAGGCGGGTTAAACTACCTCCCATGTTGCCGCCCAAGTAATAGGGGCCCACACCCTATTTGATTGCCGCTCATTAATAGTGGGATTCACTATTTGAATTAATCTATTTTTGACAAGGGGATTAATCTATTTTTGTCAAGTGGATTAATCTATTTTTGGTGTTGGGGGGGGGGGGGGGGGGGTCGGCGGGCGGCTAAGACTATAAATAGGCATGAGAGGGAAGAAATAGGGCATGCTTAATTATTATTTTCTCTTGGAGTCTTTTGGGGTCTTGACCTCTAGACTTATTGTCAAGAGATTGGGAGAGAACGATCCTCCTCTCGAATTGAGGATCAATTAAATATTTGCTCTATGTTTTACTTGTTTAGTTCTATATAATAAAACCTACTGTTTTGAGTTGACTTCATTGATGTTCTTGTGTGTTTTCTTGCTGATTTTACCAATTTATTGTTAGGGTTGCTTGTGAACTCAAACATTTCCGATAGGATTACTTGCATCCTTTTAAAATTGAATGAGCATGAAAAAATCAATGATGCTTCTTTATCTTTTTCAGAACAGTTTTAGTCTTGTCAATCGATCACCAAAATGACTAATCATTTCTATGAAACATCCAGAAAATATAAAAGGAAGCTATATTGGCACTTCTTTTGCTAAAAGATATTACTAGCTATTGTTCCCCTATCTAGCAAAGGAATTTTTTGAATTTCTTCCATTCATCACTTATAATGATTTTACTTTCATATTTCATATTAAGATCAAGATAAAGAAAATTAATGTTAATTTCAAAAATGTAAAAAGGAGCAATCGGTCATGACACGTTCACATTAAAAAGTATGATCTTACCCTAGAATTTGATAGCCTTTATTGCTTTAGAATGGAGAGAGAACCTGAGGTCGAAAAAGATTTATCAAGCATGTAACTTTATATTATTTTGGTCCATATTCAATCATCAAATATGTTCTAAAGTCATATCTAATGAGATCAACATGTCCATATTTTTATAGTACTTTGACATCAGATTGAGATCTATCCCTTGACAATCCATATGTTCATCTTTACACTTCTTCAATAATTGTTGTCCAGGTACTTCAAGATCTTCCTCACTAAATTATTGGCCATTTACAGCATGGCTTTCTTGGATTGCTTGCTCCGTTGTCTTCCATGCAACCATTGACTTCTCATAAACCTTACTACTTGAAATAAAATCAACCATTTGTTTCCCTACATATCATGCATTTTATAAAACCTAGCTTTAAGAATCATAGCATGTATCCTTTGACACCTTCGAGATAACATATAAAAACGCACTTCACTATATGTGATCCAAATCTATCTTGTGTTGACCAACATATATGTTCCAGGAGTCGAATCAAGATGGTGTGACTAAAGAAAGGCTAATGGACAAATTGTCATGCGAAATCATTCAAAGTGTCTCTCTTCGCTTGTTTCATGAAATAGGCTATGCTAATGCACTCAAAGCATCGAAATTACCAAAAAATGATCCCGGCAGCCAAGTCGATTGAGCATAATAATAGCAATGGATAATATGACTTAGTATCACATGAGTTTGGATAAAAATGCCTAGATCATATTAAACGCCACTCATGTTTTGCCTATCTAATAAAACAAATTATGCCAACACATCTGAAACATTACAAATATCCAAAATTGGCTCCCATATGGCTCGAGTCACAACACAAAAGCAAAATAAAAAACCAACATGAACATACAAGGCAAGGCTATGATGCAAAATTGATGCGCAGAGATGACTAAAATTTGTGAAAGAAAATTGACATATGCATAAAAAAAATCTTAAATTAAAAAAAAAAATCTATTTTATTACTATAAATTAAATTAAACCAAAAAAACTAATTATAATAGCTATAATCAACACTATTACATAACTAAACATATATCATGTTTTAATTAGATTTTGAAAGAAAATTTAGAAATTAAAATTAAAATTATTACCACAACAACATAAAGCCTTTATCCCACTACGTGGGAATGGCTACATGAATTCTTTTTCTCCATTGTGTTCTATTAAGAATCAAATTATCATTTAGATCTAATAAAGAAAAGTATTTTCTAATATTTTCTAACTAAGTCTTTTTAGGTCTACCTCTACCTTTCTTAATATAGGTCAAATCTAATACATCTACTCTCCTAACCGGATCATCAGAAGGCCGCTGTTTTATGTGA